ATAAAATCTGGAGAACAGGTTGAGCCTGCATGATGATTCATGTGGCCTCTGCTTTTGGTTCCCCAGACACACTGTCTGTCCTAGAGACCACACACTCTTGCCCCTACTACTTCCGTCCCTTTTAGTTTTCCATTTTCTCTGTCTCCTTTCCTCCCTTTTCCTGCTCCCCTTCAACACTCCAGTCTCAAGCTGGGTTCCCACATCAGCTGGCCTGTAGGGTCTGGGCAGGGGTCGGGGTGCCCGCCATGGCTGAGTCCCTCACCTCCTCATACAGTCGCCGCAGGAAGTCGATCTCCTCGGTCAGGGCCTCCGCGTTGGCCTCCAGGTCTGACTTGCGGAGGTAGGCGCAGTCCACATCCTGGAAAGGTGGTCAGTCTTTGAGCTCAGAGGACCCCTGGTGATTGTCCCCCTAATGTCCTCTTCTCAGCCATTCACGGAGGCTGGGTGGAGGGGGAAGGACTCCCAGGGTTCCCATTCCCATCCCATCTCCATACCTTCTCAACTTCCTGGGATGGGCCTCACAACCTCCCCCCCTTCTAAGAACAAACCCCTTTCTGTCTTGAAGATGGGCCACCAGCCTTTCCCCCTCTCACCTGAGGTAGCTTACCTCCCATTTCTCCTTTTTACTCACCCTGTTCCAGGACGCCTGCCCAGACGGACTCCCTACTCAGACATCTTGGCCCCTCCCTGTCACCCAGCACTCCTCCCAGACTCCATCTGGCCGGTCCAGGTTCTGCTCCATCCTCCCCCTCCTTTTATTCAGACATCACACAGCTCTAGACAGGACACTGTCCCTCAACAGAGACAGACCCAAGCCACAGACCACACCTCCGAAGCTGAGCAGGACATCCAGAGGGCAACCCGGCCATCCCCGGACCCAGGACACAGTAGATATTCCAAGGGTATTGACCTTTGTCAAAGCTCTGGATGTGCCCTCCATGACCTGATCTCTGGGAATTCCCCATGTGATTTGACAAGGTCACTGCACCCCACACTGAGGTTGAGACCCTCAGGGTCTCCCCAGGAAGAGTCTGTCATTCTAGGATCCCTCATGTCTGTGCTCCCCAGTATCACATGACTCACCTTCTTCAGAGCCACAAACTCATTCTCAGCTGTTGCTCTCAGAGAAACTTCCTCCTCATACCTGAGGCAGAAGAGGCAGAGAGGGAGGTCACAGAAGGACAGGTCTCCCATGAACCCCTCCCACTTCATACCAGAGCAGGGGCCAATCTTAGGAACCTCCCACCACAGCTGGACCCCTGGCAGCCCTGTTAGGTCCTTTTGGTAGGATTTAGGGTCTCTCTGCCTTGAACTGAGGGGTCCCTGGGGCTAATCTTTTGGGACATCATAACTGCTCTGAGGTCACCTCAGGAGGCAAATAAGGCCTCAGCCCCAGCCCCATGCTGGGCATGGCCAGCATCCCCTCTGGCGCACAGCAGCCCAGGCACCCTTCACTGAGTGTGCATCCTTGCCCAGGTGTGGGTCTATGAGTTCCAGAGGCCATCAGCACTCAGAGCCCTGAGCTGTGGGACACCCAGGGCCCCAGGACATGTAGGGCTCATATCACATCCATGGGCCATGTGCTATAGGTGGGAGGTCAGGAGGAGAAGGCCTGGAAGATGCCAGAAGCCTTCTCCCCACAGAGCACAGGTAACAGCTGCTGGGTGGTCAGACTCCAAGGAGAGAAGGCTAACGCAGGGGAGAGATGTCCTGGGGGAATCACAGCCCTACTCTCAGGCAGGCGTCTGGGCAACAACTGCACAGGTGACAAGATCCTACTACATCCTGCCACCCTGGCCTGCATGGCTGCTCACCCTGCTTGGAAATTCTTCTCATGTCAAATCCAATGGTCTTTAACCTAAGTCCTTCCCTGTGTCCAACATCAAAGCCAGCCACACTCACTTCTTCTTGTAGCCCTCCATCACCTCCTGCACGTGGTTGAGCTCTGAGGCCAGCCTCCCGCTGTCGGCCTCCACACACTCGGCCTTGCGCCTCAGCGTCTCGATGTAGCCCTCAAACAGCGGCTCCAGGTTGCTCTCGCAGCACTTGCGGTTCTGGTAGTACTGCCACTTGGTCTCCAGCAGCTTGTTCTGCTGCTCCAGGAAGCGCACCTGCCATTCAGGGTGGAGAAGAAGGGTCAGATGGCTCTTGGTGCCCCAAAGCCCACTTGGAGGGTTGCTTTAAAGTAAACTTCCAAAGCTGCAGCTCAGCAGAAATTAGAGGTGGACAGTGGTAGACAAATCAACTCGGGAAATTCCTGATTATGATCTATATCTGGATTTTCCGACTTAGGGATGGGAGCAAGGGGCTGGGAAAGGTCTGTCCCTTCTCAGGTGAACTGAGTTATCCCGACCTGATGAGTCCAAGTAGCATGTAGTCAGGCTCCAGGAGGAGGGCTCACCCCCTCACCTTGAAGCTAGAAGAGGTGCCCTCTTAGGCAGAGTTCCAAGATTCAGATCCCAGCCTGGGGTGTGTGGTGACAGGTAACAGGGAGATGATGTCACAAGCCATCTAGAGGAGAGCTCGGCTACCCTGGCCCCTGGCCCCCTTCACTGGGTGGCCAATCCACCTTATGCCTCAGAGGGAACACAGTCCTCAGGTGGGGCCTGGAACCTCTGTAACTTCAGAAGCAGTTGCCATTTCCTCTTCAATGTCCTGAACTCTAGTTGTGCCTCCGAACGGCCAGGTCACACCTCTCTTCCATGAGCTCTGCCTATTTGAACTCCCAGCTGCATCTTCTGGGTCTTGTGTGAGTGCCTGTTCTTGTTTGTGTGTCTGCCCCTCTCATCAGAGTGGGGAGCTCAGGCCGTCAGAACTCTTTCTGCCCCTGACTCCCCTCTCAGTGCCCAGACTGAGTCCTGTACATGGGTGGAGCTTAGGAAGGTGTGTTCAAGGACACCCACCTTGTCAATGAAGGCAGCAAACCTACTGTTAAGACACTTGATCTGCTCCTTCTCCTCATGCTTCACGCACTTCGCGCTGGGGTCGATCTCCAGGTTGAGGGGCGTGAGGAGGCTCTCATTGACGGACACGGTGGTGATGCAGGGCGGGCTGGGCCCGCACACGCCGCCTGAGCGGTATCCGAAGCTGCGTCCACAGGAGCCAGAGCGGAAGGCTCCGCAGACGCTCTGGCTGCCAAAGCCCCCTGTGAGGCCGCGGTAGCAGGAGACCCCGCGGTAGGGGGCGGCGGTGATGCAGCAGCGCCCGGGCCGGGGCCCGCAGGCGGAGGCACAACTGAAGGTGCCTCCAGCACAGTAAGATCCACAAGTCATGGTGTTTCTTTGGGACACGGAGGCTCTGAGGAGGGAGAGGTCCTAGTGGAGGGTATAATGGACAAGGTGTTTGCGTCTCGGACATCTTTGGGCCTTTTATATATGTGGGGAGCCTGGTGCGTCCATGGGTTGGAGCAATTAGCCGTCTTTTATGGGCTTGGGTTGCGTAGCTGCTGTGTTCTCCCTTAATGTACTTAATTGGGTTCCAAATGCGGCCAGATGTTTATGGCCTTTTACCCTAAACGGCACAATTTTTATCTTCAAAGAGCCAGCTCACATCTTCCACGCTCACCCCAACCTTCCTCTATACAGTTGTGGAGACTCGGGAACTGGAGGATGAGGGAGCAGTGACTCAGGTTGGAGTGGGGGGGAAAGGCGGGGCTGCTGCTCCTCCAGTACCATCCCAACTGATGACGTCAGCGCCGCTGTCCGTGGTGCTGGTTGGACCGGCCCTGAAACACTGGGAGAGTGTGAGATCCACCCGTGACATGGAACTTGGGGTGCGCTTGGTGATTTCCCTCACACTGATGACCTCGTTCTGCATTGCCAAAGCTCCACACTTGCACAATCTCTCAATTATCCCTACACCTATCCAACACTCGCACACTGCTCCCAAATCCCTCACATCTATCAACATATTTCACCCCCTAAACACACACACACACACATACACAAACACACACACACACACACACTCACACACGCACACACACACACACACTATGCACTCACATGCTGGCCTTCCCACCCACAATCTCACACACACTCGCATGGTCGTGTGCACTCTCACCTACCCTCTACCCCCCTTACACACTGACAAGACCCTAAGCCAACTTATTAGACCTTCTTGTCCAGCCCATGCTGAGGGAGGCATCCCCTCCCTTAGAGTCTTCTATGAGTCCTAAGGGGACACACACTGGCTCTCTGGCCTCAAGAATGTCCAACCATTTCCAACAAGCTCCCAAGAAAGGATAGTGTGCCTGGGTTTCACCTGAAGCCTCTGTGTTTCCTCCAGGGCTCAGAAGGTCTAAGGTGGACACCACTGTTATGTGTCTACATGGCATTTGGCTCAGATATAATTAGATCTAGATAGAGCCATATGAGGAGAGCACCCAGCCCCCTGCCATTCCCACTGAGTCTGTGCTGCTTTCCATGTTATGCCAACCCTGCCACCTCATTCCCTTTATGGCAGTTTGTCAGCAATCCTGGAAGAGGTCACAACAAATCCATATTGGTGTGTGCTGTCCATCCAGTGTGGATGGTGTGGGCCTTCAACCCAAAAGGACTGGGTGATTTAGGGCTAGGCACTTCACTCCTCTGGGAAATGGAGTACGCCTTTTCCCTCCTATGTTGCCTTGAGGAGTTACAGAGATGTGCACATGCTCAGTAAACTCCAGAGCACAATGCAGATGTTCTTTATTGCAATCATTAAGAAGAAGGAGGTACCCTGGCTGGTGTAGCTCAGTTGTTGGAGCACCGTCCTGTACACCAAGAGGTGGTGTGTTGATCGATCTCTCTTTCTCTCTCTCTCTCTCTCTCTCTCTCTCTCTCTCTCATCAATAAAATTCTTTTTTAAAAAAAGAAGAAGCAGTAGGCTCTGGGGCAGCATTTTTCTCAGAGTTCACATTGTGACTCACTCATGGAAGCAACCAGAATTTTAATTAAATTAGAACAAAATCAAGTAGAGTGAAATAAAATAGAAAAAATCAGAGTGCATCATATATAGCAAGAATAACATTTCATGACCTTTTTGTTTCAATTGTATGTGGTGTGTATATATGTATGTATTTTGTCACTATGTAAAATCATTTCTTAATATGATCGAAACTAAAAAGTTTAAATACCCAGCATATCAGTTAAGAACACAGGCCCAGGTTCCAAAATGCCTACTTTCAAAGTCCAGCTCTGTGACTTTCCTGCAATTACTTAACCTCTCTGTATCTCATTTTATGATTTGTAAAATGAAGATAATAGAACCCACCTCATAAAGTTGTAAGTATTAAAAGAATTAATCCATGTAAAGCACTTAGAACAGAGCCTGACACACTCTAAGAATTTAGTCATATTAGTAGAGGTTGTTGCTGCTGCAGCAGTAGTTACAGTGACAGGTTTGATGGGGAAGTAGAGATATATGTTATTGATGTTATTGTTGCTGCTGCTACCATGGATATAGCAACAGGTTTGATGGAATATACCTGCTCACATATGTAAAATTCTCACTAATGTTGACTATCTTAAAGAACTAGCAGAAGGATTAAATCAAGTAATGCATGGACAATGTTTAACCCAATACCTGGCACACAGCAAGTGCTCAATAAGTGTTATCTACTCTTACTCTACCATGGGGATCAATCCAAGAGGCAGGGAGGACCTGAGACCTTTGGCCATGGTTACTTTCTTTACCCTGGAAAAGAACCCCAAATCAAATGTCCCTTCTTCAATCCCTACTATAGCCCAGCTGCCCCTGGGAAGGCTCCATGACAATCTCTCTTATTAGGCAAATGGAATATGTCACTAATCCTTGGGCAATCACACTACTGGATGAGAAGAGAATCTTGGACAAACCAATAAGTCTGTTATTTGTGAATAATTCATAAATTTATATTTCTTATTTAGCCTTAATAGACCATTAAAAATCCTCATGATTTCTAAAAATAATATGATAATGCAAACCATAAATCAATGGCATGTGCGCTCGTCTTGCATTTTACCTAATCCTGAAACCTCCTGATTGGGCAGTAGCCCAGGGATACCATGGGTTCAAGGGTGAGAGATATGACATTGATGATCTGTACACATGTAATGGAATGCCAAAGAGAGCAAGGGAAGTTAAGATTTCAGTGAAGCTGGACAGTTGGAAGTTGGAGTTCAAAAAGAACGTCCCAGAAGGAGGGCAGGTAGTCATGGTTTCCTCAAGGAGCTTCCATTGTTATCTCCCATTTGGGAATGCTCTATATAAAAGAGAGCACTCTTTATTCTGGAGTCGTCACCATGCTTGTGGAGATAGGGTGAACCAAAAGACCTTCAGATCTGGAACTCAGAACCTCCTCTTTTAGCCTAAATGGATTTTTTTAAGGGATGCTTAGAAAGAAAGGGCAAAATCGGTGGTTTTAACATTAGAATGTTTTTGTCACTTCATTCTGTTCCTGTGGAGGATGTTGAGGTGATCCCCCAAGATGGATGATGGGCTCGACAAGATAACATCTTGTTGGGGGATTCCATGATTCTGTGATTGGTATGTCCCAGCCATAGCCTGGACCCTGCCTTAATATTGGAGGGAAGAAGGCACTAAGAGAAGGAAGGAGACATGGATTCTGGAGCTCCCCACCTGACAGGGAAGACAGACCCCGATTTATGTGAAAGGTCAGAAGTCTGAAGGGGGCTGCTTTTGAGATGTACCATCAGATGCTCAGGAAAGCATCCTATCGACAGTGCCCATTCTGGGGCAATGTGGAATGCAGCTGGTCTGATGGGAAAGGCAAGAACGTCTCCCTGGAAAGAGAGAGAACAGGCTTCAGTAAAGAGGCAGGCAGGATATGTTTACTTGGAGGTATTTCAGAGAGGGGGCAGACAGTAGAGACACCTGAGGGCCCTTGCAGGAATGAATCATGAGATGCTGTGGTGGTGAAGAGCCAGCTGAGACAGAGACCTAGGAAGTAGGGCCAGTGTCATCTCTGGGATTCTGTTCCATGGCTGCAGGCTGGGAGGCAGCCTGTGGGCTCTACATTTGAGGATACCAAAGCATCTGCACACTAGGCCTGTAGGTATCCAAGAGGCCACGCCTTCTATAACCTTGCAGCTCAAACTTTCTGTTCACAGAAAGAAGGTTCAGGCCAGGTTCCAGAGAGAGAAAATGAGGGGTGCGGGAGTGGGTGTGTACACAGCTCCTGAGCTGCTAATGAGAGAATTGACCTCAGGCCAACCACCAGGAAGGGCGGTTGAGTTAGTGAGTTAAGGAGAGGCTCAAGTCAGAGCCCTGCCTCCTCAGCCAAGACAGCTGGGACAGTGGCCAATTGTACGTGAGAGAACAGGGGACCAAAGGCCCCCGTGGGGATCCTGGAGGAAGTGAAGCTTGACTCAGGAGTTCTGTCCTTGGTGAGGTCTGCCCCATTAACCAGGCTAAGCCCCTGAACATTCCCCAGCCCATGTCCCTGCCCTGTGAAGATTCAATGTTATAAAGCTGGAGCTGAGGTTGCCCACCTCTTTAGGTACACCTACACCTTGCCCTCAGTGCCATGCCCTTCCCCCATCAACCTCCTCTTCCTCTGCTCTTCCAAACTTGGAATGTCTCCTCTCCGTTACTTCTGGATTTTTCCCCATTGTACCTGCACTGTCCTCCACTTCCCTCTTCTTCCCTCTCTCTACCCAAATCTCCCCTCCCTACCATCCTCCTTGTCCCCCAGCCAGTCTTTGTTCTTCGTTCTAGTGGCCCTGCAGAGTAAAGTTAAAACCAGGCATCTCGTCTCTCTTTTTTTCCTATAAATCTACTTCTTTCCTTCCCCAACACTACCACACTACCCTAAGGCCTTCAGGATTCTTGCCCTCATTGACTGGTTTTCCTTACCACTCTCATCATCGCTCAGGTTAAGGCTTTGCTTCATCTCTCCTTCAAGCCCCAGCCAGGAACGTCTCCCCACCCCACCCCCTACAGCAGGAGTGACCGCCCTCTGGTCTGCTTCATCTGGTCCCCAGCCCATCTTACCAGAAAGCTTTATACAATTAACCACCAAGCTTTGGTGGCTCCATTACTCAGCTCTTAACATGCAGCTGGTATTCATTTCATTCATTCAACAAATATTTATTGAGCACCTACTATGTGTCAAGCTCTTGAAATAATATCCATGAACCAAATATTTGTACCCCTTGGTGTGCTGCAGGGTTTGAATTTTTGTTCATGATCTGGGTATGCATCCAGCTTTTGTCCTAAAAGTGGAAACTCTCCAGGAACAAAGATGAGCGAGCACTCCTCCATCCTCTGGTCCTAAACCCTGAGGACACCCTGAAAGGCCCAGAAGAGGGCACTGGAGGAAGGGGGTTACTGGGTGTGTGTGCGTTAATGTGTTATATATAAACACCACCTACTGTGTGATACTTTTAATAAAGGCGGATGGTGGGTAGGTGGGAGAGCAATGAGATAAACTCATCCTTTCTTTGGGATCAAACACACCAGGCTCTGAGTGCCAGCTCTGCCACTAACCACACTGCTTGAACCAGTCTCTTAACCTCACTAGGCCTCAGTGAACTTCTCTGTAAAACTAGAATAATAACTCCTGCCTCAGAGGGTAATTGTGAAAATTGTGCTCTCACTGTTGTAGTATCTAGTATGAAGCAAGATGAACAACAAGAGATGTTATTATCTTTTGGGTTTGAAAGGATATTTATAAAATAGTTTCTATACCAAGTATATACATACTACTTGCATAGTTTTTAAAAATACCCAATGCTCTAGAAAGACTCTTGCACAATCATGCTTGAAGACATGAGAAAGAATGTCCATGGCAGCTCTGTTCATAAGACAAGCCCTGGAAACAACCATGAGGCCATCAGGGTAGAAAGATGAGTAAACTGAGTACAATCCACAGGGGAATGAACAGTATGAAGCTACAGGAAGCAACATCTAACAAAAAAAAAATAAACACAAAAGAATATACACAATATGACCCCATTTATATGATGTTTAAAAACTGGAAAAGTAAGTAATATAAGGTTTAGCACTAAAACTGTAAAGAAACACAAAAGAATGATTTGACACAAAATCCCACAGAGGAACCATCCCCGGGCCAGGAAGGAAGGGGGTACAGTGAGGCTCATAGGGAGCTCCGAAGTGACATGTCTGTTCTCGTTCTCCCAATAATGCTAAGCACGCCATCTGTAGATTCTTGTGTGTGTGTGTGTGTGTGACATATTTCACAATAAAAACCATTTTAACTTTCATAAAGCTCGCATTGCCAGAGCCAAGGTCATAGAATGGTTTTGCCATCCCTTCCCCCCGCCCCCCGCAATAAAACTTTTTCACTCAAAGAAAACATACAGGTTAAATGTCCTTTTAGGTCCTCAAAAATTAGCCACAACTAGTAATGCCCCAAGTTTCATGAAATGGTGTCACATTTGAATTTTTTTCTATCTGGTTTCAAATTGTTTCTTGCTTTTTGAAAATTGCTTGGCAAGGGCCAGCCCTTAGTAATTAGTCCGTGTTTATGCATGTCGCTTTTATGAGGAGTTATACTGGTAGAAAAGGTAAAGTGAGTGTGCCGTGCACTTTGACTCACTGTGCTTCTCCTCAGGACACCCGGCCAGCCGGCTTGCTGGGAGCACCACTGCTCAACTGTAGGCAGTGCCCAGGATTGCGGATAAAGGGCCTCAAAAGTGCTGGCCAGCTCCCCAAACACATAAAGTGACAGCAGGTGCCACACCCTCCTCTGGGATGACCAGATGGCCAACGCAGTCTGTGACCCCGTGGCAGTCCTGTCACAAGATCCCACTCCTGAATATTTTGCATGGAGCCGTAGGCCTGACAAACCCTATTCTCTTCTTTTCTCCTTCTTGCTTCTCTTTTTCCCATTAACCGCCCCACCCCCTCTTCCTTTCCCTTTAGCTACTTTGCCTACCTTTGCCCCAAAGGCACAGCAGCTAGGGAGCTGCCAGCCAAAGCATTTCGCTTCTTTTTTCTTCCCTTCTACTTATGCAAATCTCTGTACTTTACGAGTTAATTTTTCTAGATCTGCTCTATTGGAGTGGGGTGCTTCTTGGATAAGTAGAATACACTTCAATCTATCGAGGTTACTTACAATACAAAGTAAGTACTAGTAGACAAATAATTAGAATGGCCACTTTCCATCCCCTCCCTTCGATTATCAGGCATAGGATCCTGCAGGTCCAGCGCATAGGCCCCAGCCTCACATTGCCCTTGTGCCGCACTCACACTCCATTGCCCCCTCCTGTTAGTTTGTTTGTTGTTGTTGTTGATCCTCACCCAAGGATATTTTTCTATTGATTTTTAGAGAGATGGTAAGAGAGAGGGAGAGACAGAGAGAAATATTGATGTGAGAGAAACACATTGATTGGTTGCCTCTTACACAAGCCCTGACCATGGCCTGGATGGGGGAAGAGCCTGAAACTGAGGTAGATGCCCTTGACCAGAACCAAACCCGAACCTTTCAGTCCACAGGCTGATGCTCTATCCACTGAGCCACCCAGCTAAGGCATCTCCTCCTGTTTTTAACCATCCCAATCCCCTCTGACTGCCCATTATCCTTAGACTTACTTTCCAACCCTAAATCCACAGATATTCCCTCCTAAACAACTCTCTCTACTCTTGATTTTCCAGGGATAAGGCAATCCAGGGGTTGTCATAGCTTGTAGGTGAGAAGGCATAGTATCTCCTGAGCTTCACTACTTACAAGGCAAAACTGGGCAAGCTATTTAGCCTCTCTCAGCCTCAATTTTCTCATCTGTAAAATGGGGATAATGGTGCATACCTCATATGGTTGTGAGAATTAGAGATCATTTATAGCATCCTATATAATAAAGAGGTAATATGCAAATTAACCCTCACACCCTCACAAGACGGCTGCCTATGACTAGGCCAGCAGGGGGGTTAGTGAGGGACAACCAAATGACTGAACAAGCAGGGACAATCAAAAGGTTGAACAGCAGGCTGCATGGGGTGACCAGGCCGGCTAGGGGGCCGTGAGGGGCAACCAGGCTGGCAGGGGGGACAGTTGGGGGTGACCAGGACAGCAGGGGGGCCAGTTGAAGCAACCAGGCTGGCAGTGGGGGGTGCAGTTAGGGTGACCAGGGCAGCAGGGGGTGGGGCATGCAGTTGGGGTAACCAGGCCGGCAGGCAGGTGAGCAATAAGGAGCCAGCAGTCTAGGATTGTGAGAGGGATGTCCAACTGCCAGCCAGTAAGACATTCCCCGAGGCGTCCCGGATTGGAGAGGGTGCATGCTGGGCTAAGGGGACCCCGCCCCCCCCTTGCACAAATTTCGTGCACTGGGCCTCTAGTGTAATAATAATAGATGACTAATTTTTAAAATCCTCTTATCAAAATGTTTCCTTATAGAGTACTTTCTAATTGTAAAGGGGGAAATGCATTCAAGTGATCTAATTTAACATCATGAATAATAGAACAACCTGACACTTTGTGCTTCATATGAAGTATTCTGCCTAAAAAATGTTTTAATTAAGCCCAATCAAGCCTCTAGACCAGTGCTATCCAATAGATGCTGGTGTGATGGTGGTAATGTTTTATATCTGTACTGTCCAATAAGGTAGCCACTAGTCCTGTGTGACATGTGGCTAGTACAACTGAGAAACTCAATTTTGAATTTAATTTAATGTCAACTAATTTAAATAGCCACATGTGCCCACTGGCTACCATACTGAACAGCCAAGCTCTAGAGTTAACTTCCAGTTGATAGACATATGTTAAAAGACATAAAATCTATTTTTAAAAATTTGGGAGACAATTGGGAAAATTGAATGTGGAATGGATAGTTAATAATTTTTGGAATTATTGCTCATTTGCTTGCCATGTAACTGTCAAATACTTGGACCAATGTGAAAAGAAATATGGCACAAAGCTAACATCTGTCTAATCTTGGAATCTAGGTGAAACATCGCAGGATGTTTGTTATATATTCTCTCAACATTTCTATATGTTTGTAAATTTGAATAATAAAAGCTGAAGAATACATCATACAAATATCTAATAATGCAGTAGCTGCTGCCGTGGTGAGAAAAAATCAGAAGTTTTTCAGTAGCCCACTGGACGACCTAGGGAGGGGACATCCACATTCGTGTTTCAGTGGCACCTTGCCTACTCCTGGAATGGAACCTTATATCTCAACCTTTCCTGGGCCTCCTCCCCACTCACTCTCCTACACACACAGGCCCCTCTCCTTGCTTCTCCCAGCATCTATTCTCCCTTCTCTTCCCCTTCTCCTGGGCTGTTCCTCCATCCTTCCCCTCCCCGGCCCTGCCCTGCCCTTCTCTCCCCAATACACTCAGATGAGTGCATGCCCTGCTGGCCAGGCACTTTGAAGATGAAACATGCTGAGTCTCCCTAAGGCCCAGAGATTGGCATCTTTTATGCAGAAGAGGGTGCGGGCCACTCCACCATTAAAACACATTCTAGAGAGGGGTTGAACCCAGCTAACCGCCCAAGCCCATAAAGCATAAATTGCCCCAACTCCATCTGCATAGCCAAGCCCCTTCCCATCGGACCATAAATAGGACTGGGGCACCTGGAGGAGCACATTGGAGTTTCCACCAAGACTCCAGACCTCACATCTTCTACTCCACAGCCCAACCTCCAGAAGCACCATGACGTGCGGATCAGGATTCTGCGGCCAGGCCTTCAGCTGCGCCTCCGCCTGCGGGCCCCGGCCCGGACGCTGCTGCATCACCGCCGCCCCCTACCGCGGGGTCTCCTGCTACCGCGGCCTCACAGGGGGCTTTGGCAGCCAGAGCGTCTGCGGAGCCTTCCGCTCTGGCTCCTGTGGACGCAGCTTCGGATACCGCTCAGGCGGCGTGTGCGGGCCCAGCCCGCCCTGCATCACCACCGTGTCCGTCAATGAGAGCCTCCTCACGCCCCTCCTCCCGGAGACGTCAATGAGAGCCTCCTCACGCCCCTCAACCTGGAGATCGACCCCAACGCGCAGTGCGTGAAGCATGAGGAGAAGGAGCAGATCAAGTGTCTCAACAGCAGGTTCGCTGCCTTCATCGACAAGGTGGGTGTCCCTGACCAGCCCTTCCCTGAACCCTCTGTTGCTGGGCTGGGCACTGGAGAGGAGTCAGGGGCAGGAGGGATGTGGCCCAGATGAGCTCCCAGCCTGATGGAATACATGGACACACATCGAGGGCACAGGCAGACACAAAGAGATGGAAAGATGCGTCTAGGGGAGGCAGAGACTCCTGGTTTGATAGCACTGTTATTACATATATACAACCCCTGTCCACATGCAGGGAAACCACAGAGAGACAGAGCAAGGCTTGGAACTGTATCCGAGGAAGGAAGCCCTACATGCACACAAGACACAAGAAATGCACATAAGAAATAGGAGCTGGACCACAGGGACCTCCTTTTGAAAGGTGTCCTTGATCACACCTTTCCTGAAACCTCCTCATACTCACGATTCAGGCTAGCCATGGAGTGGGGACTCAAGAGTAAAACAACCTCCACTCAGCTCCTGACTACATCCCACCTACACTCATCAGAACTGAAAACTCTTCGCCTGAGAGCAGGAACTGACCTTTCCCATACCCTAGGTCCCATCCCTAAAATGGAAAATCCAGATATGAATAACAGTCAGGAAAACAGAAGTTGCCTTGTCTCTCAATGTTCAACTCTATCTAAGCTCTGCTGAGCTCCAGCTTTGTGAGTTAACATAAAGCATCCCCCAAATTGGTTTTGGGGCATCAAGAGCCATCTCACAGCTCCTCCCACCCCAAATGGCAGGTGCGCTTCCTGGAGCAGCAGAACAAGCTGCTGGAGACCAAGTGGCAGTACTACCAGAACCGCAAGTGCTGCGAGAGCAACCTGGAGCCGCTGTTTGAGGGCTACATCGAGACGCTGAGGCGCGAGGCCGAGTGTGTGGAGGCCGACAGCGGGAGGCTGGCCTCAGAGCTCAACCACGTGCAGGAGGTGATGGAGGGCTACAAGAAGAAGTGAGTGTGGCTGGGTTTGATGTTTGGAAAGAGGCTTGGAGTCTGACCACCCAGCAGCTGTTACCTGTGCTCTGTGGGGAGAAGGCTTCTGGCATCTTCCAGGCCTTCTCCTCCTGACCTCCCACCTATAGCACATGGCCCATGGATGTGATATGAGCCCTACATGTCCTGGGGCCCTGGGTGTCCCACAGCTCAGGGCTCTGAGTGCTGATGGCCTCTGGAACTCACAGACTCCACACCTGGACTGGGATGCACACTCAGTGAGGGGTGGCTGGGCTGCTGTGCGCCAGAGGGGATGCTGGCCACAACCAGCATGGGGCTGATGCTGAGGCCTTATTTGCCTCCTGAGGTGACCTCAGAGCAGCTATGAGGTCCCAGAAGATTAGCCCAAAGGACCCCTCAATTCAAGGCAGCGATATCCTAAATCCAATCAAAAGGATATAACAGGGCTGCCAGGGTCCAGCTGTGGGAGGTTCCTAACATTGGCCCCTGGCCTGGTATGAAGTGGGAGGGGTTCGTGGGAGACCTGTCCTTCTGTGACCTCCCTCTCTGCCTCTTCTGCCTCAGGTATGAGGAGGAAGTTTCTCTGAGAGCAACAGCTGAGAATGAGTTTGTGGCTCTGAAGAAGGTGAGTCATGTGATACTGGGGAGCACAGACATGAGGGATCCTAGAATGACAGACTCTTCCTGGGGAGACCCTGAGGGTCTCAACCTCAGTGTGGGGTGCAGTGACCTTGTCAAATCACATGGGGAATTCCCAGAGATCAGGTCATGGAGGGCACATCCAGAGCTTTGACAAAGGTCAATACCCTTGGAATATCCACTGTGTCCTGGGGTCCGGGGATGGCCGGGTTGACCTCTGGATGTCTTGCTCGGCTTCGGAGGTGTGGTCTGTGGCTTGGGTCCCATAAGCCTGGCATCTTCTGTCTCTGTTGAGGGACAGTGTCCTGTCTAGAGCTGTGTGATGTCTGAATAAAAGGAGGGGGAGGATGGAGCAGAACCTGGACCGGCCAGATGGAGTCTGGGAGGAGTGCTGGGTGACAGGGAGGGGCCAAGATGTCTGAGTAGGGAGTCCGTCTGGGCAGGCGTCCTGGAACAGGGTGAGTAAAAAGGAGAAATGGGAGGTAAGCTACCTCAGGTGAGAGGGGGAAAGGCTGGTGGCCCATCTTCAAGACAGAAAGGGGTTTGTTCTTAGAAGGGGGGGAGGTTGTGAGGCCCATCCCAGGAAGTTGAGAAGGTATGGAGATGGGATGGGAATGGGAACCCTGGGAGTCCTTCCCCCTTCACCCAGCCTCCGTGAATGGCTGAGAAGAGGGCATTAGGGGGACAATCACCAGGGGTCCTCTGAGCTCAAAGACTGACCACCTTTCCAGGATGTGGACTGCGCCTACCTCCGCAAGTCAGACCTGGAGGCCAACGCAGAGGCCCTGACCGAGGAGATTGACTTCCTGCGGCGACTGTATGAGGAGGTGAGGGCTTGTGGTCCAGGCAAGACACTGGCAGCTAGCCTGGAGGAGAGAGCTTTGGCCTGGAACATAAGGTGGACAGGGATTCGGGCATCAGTCTGCCATGCGTGAGAGGGTGGGGGCTAGAGAACAGGGAGGGCTGAGAAGATTGGGTGGAGGCTATGGTGGTGGAGTCGGTGGCATAAACAAGATCCTTCCTCCTCCCATACCCACAGGAGATCCGTGTCCTCCATGCCCACATCTCAGACACCTCAGTCGTCGTCAAGATGGACAACAGCCGGGACCTGAACATGGACTGCGTCATTGCCGAGATCAAGGCTCAGTATGACGACATCGCCAGCCGCAGCCGGGCCGAGGCCGAGTCCTGGTACCGCAGCAAGGTGAGTGGCCCAGGACACCTGCCTCCTAGACATGGCAGTGGGAGGGATGTGAGGTATATATTAGAAAAGGCTGCCTTTGTGTGCGAATTCTGATCCTAAAGATGATAACAGAGGCCAGACAGCTCTCAGGCTGAGGGGCCAGGGCTGCTATGGGTGGTTGCTCAGACTGAGCACTGTACAACCTGCACTGTCATCTGTGGTGACCTGAATGGGTGCCAGGTCCCATCCTGAATCTCTGCTTTCCCCCAGTGCGAGGAGATGAAGGCCACAGTGATCCGTCACGGGGAGACACTGCGCCGCACCAAGGAGGAGATCAATGAGCTGACCCGCATGATCCAGAGGCTGAAGACAGAGATCGAGCACGCCAAGACTCAGGTAGGCAAAAGAAAATAGAGAAAGCCCCAGAGGAAGGAGAAGCAGGGCTCTGAATTTGGGGAGCTCCAAGTCTGATGATATAGGGGAGACCATCAGGACCCAGAAATGGAGGAATGGAGGGATTAGTACAAAAAGACTTCCTGGGAGAGGAAAATGTGGAAGGAAAGGAGGATCTCCTATACAGAAGAAAAGGCTTGGGGTCAACTTGAAGCAGCAGGGTGAGACAGCCATCAGTGATGCCCGCTGCAAGCTGGCCGAGCTGGAGGCCGCCCTGCAGAAGGCCAAGCAGGACATGGCCTGCCTGCTCAAGGAGTACCAGGAGGTGATGAACTCCAAGCTGGGCCTGGACATCGAGATCGCCACCTACAGGCGCCTGCTGGAGGGCGAGGAACAGAGGTGAGACCCTAGCTGGCTAAGCTGCCATTTCTGCCCCATTAAGGGCCAAGAGTCTGGGATAAACCTGTCATTTATCACTTCGGGGTAGTGTTCAATTTGGGAGGGCTCTTTCCTCAGACCTCTGCTTCTCCCCTCTTGACTTGCGGACCCAACCCCCAAAATTTGTGGAGCTCTGTCTGCCATTCTGGCCAAGTTACTAATACTGCTCTTTTTTTCTTTCCTCTCAGGCTGTGTGAAGGCGTTGGGGCCGTGAATGTTTGTAAGTAACATGGGCCCTGTGTGGGTAGATTTGCTCTCTTGCCGTAAAGGATGGAAGAGACTGGAAGGAGGGGCTTCACTGGGACCTAAATATAAAAGGGCTGGCATTCCAACAGAACGGGTTTGGGGTCAGAGAGCAGGAAAGACCACAGTTGTGGGACTGGGTGGACCTGGAGTTGTCAAGTAGAGATACTGTACTTGGGGAGGGGCAGCCTTGGGATGGGATAACTCGCCATCAGAATTTTGACTCAGGCTTTGGGTTTCGCAGGTGTCAGCAGCTCCCGGGGTGGAGTCGTCTGTGGGGACCTCTGTGTGTCAGGCTCTAGGCCGGTGACAGGCAGCGCCTGCAACGCCCCTTGCAGTGGGAACCTGGCTGTGAGCACCGGAATGTGCGCTCCCTGCGCCCCCTGCGCCCCCTGCGGCCCCTGCAATTCCATCACATCTTGTGGACTGGGCACTGGAGGAGTTGGGTCCTGTGGCATCAGTTCCTGCGGCGTAGGCTCCTGTGTCAGCAGCTGCCGCAAGTGTTAGGCGTCCCAGCTCAACCCCCACCGGCATCGCTCCCTCCCAGCAGGGCCTGGTCCAGCCCTGGGGGGAGCAAGCACTGGGTTATTTCTCCTGCACTTTGAAAGGTCCATCCTGCCCCTAGACTCCTCTGTGTATCTGTGATCACCTCTTCCTATGCTCTGCCCCCCCCCCACCCCACGGTGGGAAAGGCTACCCCAGAAAGAAGTCCCCCTGGTGCCCACAGGAAGGGGGCTCCAGGACAGGAAGGACCAGAACCAGGACCCTACCCTGGGCTGCCATGGGGCCAGTGGCCAGGGTCCCCCAGCCTCTCCCCTTCCTCCTCTGTTCCTCTCTGTCTTAATCTGTGTTTCCAATAAATCAATGTAGCCAACCCTGGGCCTTGTGTTCACCTCTGTTATCCTCAAGGGTTGGGGTTTGGGAGGATCCCGATAGTCCCAAGGAGCAGAAAAGGCCTCGTCTGGGGTCTCCAATACAATCTTCTGTCCCTGGGCCCACAGCAGTCTGAGATTTAGCCAAGGGTTGAGCTGGGCCCACGCACAGTGCAGTTTTATTCACACGACCTTGTAGATTTCATCCACACCACCTTTTATGATGCATCTTGCAGATGAAGCAGCCAGAGCTCAGAGACGCTCAGTAATTGGGCCCCCTGCTGAGGTCAATGGTGCAGCTGGGGTTTGAGCCCGTGTGCATCTCTGGAGCTCATTTCACCAAACCACAGAAAACATCCATGTGCACCCCTGTAAGCTGATTCTCCAGTCACTCCAAGCGTAAGGAAAACCACTGTTGTGGTGGGGAAGACTAGGGGCTGAGTAATTTATTAGAATTTTTTAAGGATAAGTACATAATTGAAACTCTCAGAAAGCCTTTGATATGGCGACTTTTTAAAAAATGGAGTCTTTTGAGGTTTGGAGACCTGCCATTGCTGGTAAATTACCTCACAAACAGCACCTAACACAAAGATGATGTGGCAGAGAGGTGAGCACACAAACTCTGGGGACAGACGGCCCGGGCTCTGTTCCTTCCTCACTGAGTGACCTTGGACAATTTACGTACCTCCCTGTGCCTCTGTCCACATCTCTAGGGAGAGTGATAAAAAGAGCAGCTACCTCAGTGCTGATGGGAGGATTGAGGAACTTCATATATAGCACCTAGTGCCTGGCATAAATTTATGACGATGTATGTTTATCTTTAGTATTATTCGCTTTGCCTCTATTTACACTTGTATCTGTGATTAGAGATTGAAGTACAGTGAGAATTATGTCTTCCAAAGTCATTGAGCTCCTTCTTCAGGGAAATGTCACCCCTCCATGCCCCCGCTCTGACACTGATGAGGATCTTGCAAGAGGTGGTGGGAGTTGGGAGATGGCTCTTTGACTTCACTATGGGCCAAGGCGAGCCCTGAACATACATCTATACAGCAGAGCGGATCTACATTTCCAGGCCCAGGCCCAGAAAACTATAGCAGAGATGTTAATCCCCACCCCTAGGGCTCAGGGCAAGAGAAATAATTATGAATATGTATTGATAGACCAGGAGACAAAGGCTCTTTTAAGGGACTGTATCAATCCCAGGTATTTCCGAGCAGGGCAGAGCCCTGGGAGAGTTCCAGAGCGTGCAATTGTTCTAACCAGCCCTCCGAGCTGTAAAACCTGTCAGGAGTCCAGACCTAAGGCTCAAAGAGAGACACTAATACAGCTAAGCTGCACCCAACATATTTGAGTGCAATTAAGTGTGAGACAGGCATCAGCAGCCAACAGTGGGCTGACACCTTGAGGTCCCCAAAGTGATGACTGCGCTGGTGACAACTCTCCTCCCTTCAGAAGTCATCCCAACTCATAAAGCTCAAAAATGGGAAGATGAATGACTCCCCATAAATGCACCAGGTAGTTCTCCCCCACCCAAGGCTGGAATGTGGTCCACAGCCAGGGGAGCCACTCAGAATTAGTCCCCAAGCTGCAAACACTGCTGTGGTCCACGTGGCCCTGGCTCGGCAAGAGATTCCAACCTTCCAAGCTCCTGGAATCTCTTGGACTGACGTCAGGTTTGGGATTTAGAAAGGAAAAATTCAGGCAGCAGCCAGTCCTCTGTGGTGCAGGCTGTAGTGGGCTCATCAGAAATCCTGCCTGCAACTCCTGGGCAAAATGCCCAACCAAACACTCTTGCAGAAGGGCAAGCTCTGCTTTCAGGAGCTGATTTGCACCGGGAGTGTTGGTAAGAACATTTATATCTTTGGTGTTAGTATGGATCAAATGGGGCTGATGCAGGAGTCCGGTGGGGCCATGTCCCCTACCCTTCAAGAGCTGGTAGCCTGCCAGCCATGTTTCCATCCCATTCCTCTGACATGAGATTCCTGTTTACCCAGGAAGGGAGCCTGTTAGATACCTTTGGGCAGGGACCCAGGAAAACAGCAGACACCCTAGCACTAGTATTACCTTAAAAGGTAAAGCCAGAGCCTCGGGCCAATGACGCACCTTAGCCCTACTCCGGGACTTAGAAAGCAGAAACCTTTGTTTCCCAGACACACTGATGATGTAAACCTTTGTGCAATAGACAAAAATGTGAGCTCAATAGATGGGGACATCTCTCAGGCTGTGTGCCAAGGCAAGAGCTCAGAAATCCAGGCCTTCACTGGCCACCCAACCCTCCAAACTGGCCTGTCTTCTGCCCCCTAAAGTCCAATTAGTTACCTTGTGAAAACTCAAACTATACTACACCACAGACCTGGAGTAGAAGCAGAGCTGGAACCTCAGTCTGGTTCCAAAGGTTTTCCTCCACCGTCATACATTGTTCCCAGCCCACCATCAGGTCACTTGTGAAACTAGAACTCAGGCCTGAGCCTCCCAGTTGTGCTCAGATCCCCCAGCCCCAATCTGCGAGGGCATCTTCTCTGGGCCTGTCCTCAAGAGCCCCTGCCTGGCACAGAAGGCGCACTCTCATCCCTAGCCCACTCCATTCTCTTTCTGGTCTGCTTTCGTGTTTAGGGGCCCCCTCCCCAACAGAATGTCATCTCCAGGGAGCCAGGACTAGCGTGTCATCTTGCACACTGAGCACTATGCCTGACCCCCAGAGGCCACTCCGTGTTTGTTTGTAGCCAATGAGTAGATGAATGGATGCAGTTCTCAGCGCCTCTGCCAGGAGGAGCTGACGATGGGCCCCAAGCTAGGGTGGTTGCTTCTGGGTAGTGTCCCGGCCCCAAATCCGGCCAGCTTTGTCTTTGTTCTAAGGAATCAAGGTGCAAACAGCCTGGTGGCTCAGTCCACTGCAGAACATTTTTATTGCAAAGGAAGAGTCCCAGGGAAAGATGGTCCAGGGTGAGGGACACGAGGGAGAAATGAGGCGAGGGCCAGATCCATGGGAGGGGCGTCTGAGACAGAGGACCAAGTCTTTGGGGCAAAGGCTAGGGTTCTTGGAGCAGGAGATGAGGTGTTCAACGTCCGGGGAAGTCTCTGCAGCTGAATTCCCTGACACGGCCTGGGGAGCAGCAGAGTGAGCCACTGCAGCCAGGAGTGCTCGTCTCCAGGGCGTCGGAGCCCGCTCCTGCTCCTGAAGGTAGCAGACGGTCAGGGCCCCGGGCCAAGCCGGGCTGGCAGGTGAGATCACTGTCCAGGGCTGAGCAGAGAGTGGCTGTTGGAGGGAGGGAACCCCCTTCCCGCCCTCCACCCCAGGAGACAGGCATACCAACAACTCCTCCAGGAAGCAATGCACAGACCCTCCTCCCTAATAGGAGTCAGACAGGCAAACTCCCCAAAGTAACAGATACACAGACCCTTTCTCCCAAGAAACAGACTCAAGAATCCTTCCCTCTCCGAAGTCGGACACAGATTCCCCCCACCCAAGAATAAAAGTCTCGCCCATGAGAATAAGGTCACAGAACTTCCTTCCACACCCCAGGCAAAAACCAATAGAACAGTGGTTCTCAACCTTCTGGCCCTTTAAATACAGTTCCTCATGTTGTGACCCACCCATAAAATTATTTTCGTTGCTACTTTATAACTGTAATGTTGCTACTGTTATGAATCGTAATGTAAATATCTGATATGCAGGATGGTCTTAGGCGAACCCTGTGAAAGGGTCATTCGACCGCCAAAGGGGTCTCGACCCACAGGTTGAGAACCACTGGAATAGAACCTCCCTGCAAAGAACAGACCCCAGGACCCTCCCCCCCCACCCTACACACAAACACAAAGACTCACTCCCAAGAGAGAAACCACCCCTGGCAAAGGGAGACACACAGAGGACGCAGACCCCTTCTCCCTTCCCAAGAGGATGCACAACAAAGGGGGGCAGATAAGATTTGGCCCCTCCAACCGGTTATACCTATTATTTACTTACTGAGGCTCTCTGCTCCCCATCTCAGGCCAAGCCTGCAGGGAGGAGGGGGACACAGGTAAGTGGACCTCGCTCCTGGGTGTAACAGTCCCCATTCTCCTCTCTACAGAAGTCATTCATCCTGCAAGCTCCTTGGTTCTCTCAGGTCCCCACAGCCTTTTGAGTGAAGGCTCCTTTGAACCTTTAAATTCAATCCTTCCTGCCATAAATTTAAATAACTCACTTTTATTGATGTCTTCTCAGGAGAGGGAGAAGGCAAAAGGTCTACACTTTGGGGGGCCTAAACATCTTGAAAAGGGAGGCTGTGGGTGGGGGTGCATTTTAAAGGAGACCACAGAGAAGACAGCTCAATTATCTGAAGAATGTGGTTCAAGCCTCACTTAATCCCTTTCTACTTGTGCATCCTTGAGGTGGTCCTTTTGCCCTCTCTGAGACTCTGTTTCCTCATCTGATAAAGCATCCCTCCCATGGGGTTGCGGGTTTAAAAGAGGTAATAAATGTAGCATGGCTGCATAGTGGATTCCCTCTCCCTCCCCTCAGCCTGGTGTTCCCAGGTGGGTGGAGCTGGCAGTCTTTGAGTCCCTACTGCTGTCTAAGAGTAAAAGCCAGGCCCTCCTGGTTCCCACAAACCCTGCCTTCCCCAGGTCCCAGGAAGACGGGCAGGACTGAGAAGA